CTCCCACCTCGAGCGATAAGAAGCCCATTCCCACCAGAGACAGCCTGTGAGCGGAGATCTGGATCCTGTGACTCCCCCATCCCCACCCCATTTGGTCGCAGGTCTTCTCTCCGGGACTGCACAGAAGAAGCCGGCTCCCTCCACCTCCGAGGTGTAAGTCCTGCGCACAGCACATTATTCCCCTCTCCTCCCTTTTGCTTGGCAGGGAATCTCCGGGGGGTCTCCCTCCCTCCTCTCTGTCTGCCCAAATCATACCTGTTTTCCAAGGCACTCTTGGAGGATACTTGTTTCAGCCTGTACAGCTATTCACCCTATTTCAACAATAGCATCCAAATTTTCCTTAGGGGATCTTGTCCCCCACCACCCATTTCAAGTTTGTGCGTTCGTTTGTTTTTAATTGAGGTATAATTGATATATAACATTATATTAATTTCAGGTGTATAACATAATGATTCGCTATTTGTATATATTGCAGAGTGGTTCCCACAATAAGTCCAGTTAACATCAGTCACCATACACACACACAAAGTTTTTTTTTCCTTATGATGAGAACTTTTAAGATCTCTCTTAGCAACTTGCAAATTTGCAATACAGTATCATTAACTATAGTCGCCTAGTCACTATGTTGTACATTATCTCCCCGTGACTTTTTTTTTTTAACTGGAAGTTTGACCACCTTCACCCATTTCTCTGACCCAAGTTTATGTGGTTTGAATAGAGACAGTGTCCTGCCATCTTTCCCCCCTGACTTCTGTGCAGGAACAGGCACTGGGCCTATTTCAGGACAACAAGAGTCCGACCAGGACCTCTGTTGGGAGGGTTGTGGGGAAAGAAGTTCTTTCTATTGGTTTTACTAACAGAAGAGTGCATACCTAGAACTCAGCCGTCTTGTCACCACAAAGTGGAATCCTGCCTGAGAACGGAGCAACAGTCTGAAAAGCAAAGCCCAGAGATGAAAAAAACACACGCTCTGAAGACACCCTCTGAGCTCCTGGACCCAGCCATGCCAGAAGCCAATACCTCTGGATTTTGTAATTACATGAGCCAATAAATTCTTTTTTCTACTTAAGTCAGTTTGAGTTGGGTTTTCTTCTGTTGCAACTAAGATTCCTGACTGATGGAATTGACGTGCACCCACCTCTTCTGCAAACCCTGGTCTTCTCTGACCCCACTTTCTTCTGCATTCCCATAGCCCTTATTGTTCAAACCATAAGATTCAAAAGTCCATATTTACACAACCATGAACGCACATGCCCTCATTAATAGTTACTCTTTATGGAGCACCAGCTATGTGCCAGTCACCAAGTGAAGCACTTTACATATAATATCTTACTGTAATCCACACAACCAGAAAATTAAGTAATTTTATCCCCATTCTACACATAAAGAAACTAAGACTCAGAGAGGTTAAGCTCTCACAGCCAATAAGTGGCAGGGCTAGAACTCAAGCACAGCTCTGTGGGACTCAAGAGGCCGTGTTCTGGACCACTGTGCCACCTTGCCTCCCAGGACACAGCATGTGTGATTGTGAAGTGAGGAGAAGAGGCCACCAAGATCTGGTCCCCTGACACCACACCGCCCCACCCTTGGTCCCTCCTCCAGTGCTCTTTGCACTGTTCTGTGCTGCCTGCAGGGCAGGCGAAGGGTGAAGCACAGAATGAAATGCTAAGACAAAGCGTCCTGGGGGTCACAACTGACAGACCAACAGGAGACAAGATCACGGAAGCACAAACTCGATCTCCCGATGAGTAATGGAATAAAATAACTTGATGTGATCGTTAAACTTCCTCTGTGATTCACGCTGTATTTCCCCTAGTGGCCCAAGCTTCTGAGACTCTTGACAGACACCATCCATGCTCACCCTACCTCCCAATCCTTCTCCCCCACCTACTAGACAGACTTTGGGTTATTCTATGGTGAAAAGACACACCTGATTCTCATAGTGCTTACAGTGTAACGGGAAAGGCAGACCCTAAGTCCGTACACAGAGAAGTAGATGACTGGGTTGAGTTCTATGAAGAAATCAGAACTGGATGGATGATGGTTCCATTCACTGAGAGAAGGCTGAGGGGAGCCAGGGAAGGAAATCGAGTTTCAGCCCCAATTCATTATCCCAACAGAGATGGAAAGTATGTAATTAGATATGGGAGTCTAGTGCTCACAGGAGAGGTCTGGTCTAGAGCCTAAAAAAGCATCCTACTATCCTTTCAGGCTTTTTCAGATCTATCTCTTCTTGGAAGCTTTTCCAAGTGATCTTTTCATTCATTCATTCATTCATTCATTCATTCAACAAGTTCTCAGTAATATTTACTCTGTGATGGATTAGTGTTGGCTTAATGCCCTCAAGAAGCTTATGTTTTAGGTATGGTATCAACAAATAGAGTAGACAATTATAGAACAGAATGGTAAGTGTGGTTGTCAAGGGAACAGCAAGGGGCTATAGGAGAATGGGCCTCTTCTCAGCCAGGTCTAGGAAGCAGATGGCCATTTCATGTCCACGTGTTTTGAGGAGGCTCTATTCAAAAAGGTGGGCAGGGAATAGGGCAACCAGAAGGGGTGGTGAAGTACCCTGGGGCTTGAAACATTTGGGCTTTATTACCTCCCTCGTCCTCAAAGGGAGAAAAAAGAAGGTGGCTGCAGGAATCCAGAGTTGGGGAATAGCAGGGAGCACTGAGCTTGGGCTGACAGCCTGGACTTGTGAACTTCAGCTGAGGGGTGCAGCAAGAGCAACAACAGCAAAAGGTTTTTAAAGAATAAGTGAAATATATAAAATGATGTTAGGTGTTAAGGAATAACATGGCAGGGAAGGTGGTTAGGGAGGACAGGAAAGGGAGGGATTAGCATTTGTAAATAGGATGGTCAGGGAGGGCTGCACAGAGAAGGTGGCACTAGAGCAAAGACTTAAACAAGTTCTATGTCTAGGTGACTCTTCCACTGACCCCTTCAGTTAGTCCCCACCTCTCCTCCTGCTCCTTGTCCCAGGGTCAGGCCCTGAATTAGAGAGTTCCCTGAAGGTTCTTCTCTCACTATGGTCTCCCCAGGACAGGAGGAGTTCCATCCTTCCTTTTGTCATCCAATAACAACAGAAGCTGCCACTTTCCAATGACCTCGTGGCCAGCTGCCTTCCCTAACAGGGTTCCTGCCCCATCCGCACTCCAGAGAAGGGGAAGTAGAGGAAATCTTAAGTTTCTGAATAACTGAAAAGGGGAACAAAGATTAGGCATATACTTGGTCTCCAAAAGGCACAGGAACCAAAAGGTAGAAGTCAATAGGAGGCAGTTGTTGTCACAATGTGAGAGTATCCTAACAATCAGAACCTTAGCTGCCTCAAAGGCAATGAGATTCTTGTCACTAGAATCTCATTGTCACTAAAAGAAACTGCACAATTTCATGTCAAAATAGAATACAGGGGATTCTGAAGGAAAAGATTTGACTAGATTACTCCAAGTTCTTCCAACGTAGGTTCTACCACTAAATAATTCTAGAACTCTTAAGATGTGTGAGTCTATGACTATGATTCTAAAATTTTATTAGAACAAGAGATAATCCCTATATTAAAAGAATTCACAACCTAGTAGATGAGGTGGGGAAATAGTTTCTTTTGATAAACTGTAATAAATATTCCTATAGAGTACACTGAAGGCCTGAGCAGGATGTGGGAAGGAACCGTAACTGAGCCGGGGCTGCTCCCTCAAGGCTGTTCTCAAGAATTGCATCAGAATCATCAGAATCGTTTGGGCATCTTAAAAAAAGTTAATTTCTGGGCTACATTCCAAATCTTCTGAATCAGAGCTTCTGGAGTGGAACCCAAAAGTCTATTTTCCTAAAATAAGCTCCAAGGTGAGTTTCAGGCAGAATGAAATTTGAGACCAGGCTCAGGATGACGTCCTCGCGCTGATTTCCAGACTGAGAAAACGTTGTAGCTGGGTCAAAATACACGCCCGCAGAGATAAAACGGAAGTAACATGTTTTTGATGAAGATTCATACTTTTGTACAACTACTCCCTCCGTGTGGCCGGTCTTTCTAAAGTGATAGCACTTCCTAGATGTAATCTGTGATTCTGTGATTGAGGGTATGTGCCTTAGATGTCCTGGAACAGGTCTTTGTTTGCAAGGGAGCAAGAGCTGGCCTGTTTGTTATTAATTATTCCAAGGCCAACGGCTGATAAAGAGGAATCTGATAAGGAAGGACTCCCACAGCGTCCCTGTGAGGCTGTTCCCAGCCGCTGTCCACTCCCCTGCCCTTAGCCCCCTGGCCGTTTCCCAGGGGTCCCTACCTGCTTCTCTCTTCTGGAGCCTGCAGCGTCACCAGACAGTAGTTTGAGTGAGCCTGCTGGCCAGAAAGTGAAGGGTGTTCTGAGGGACCAGTGAGGTGTGTGGCTGGTCACCAGTTGTCTGGACCGTGAAGAGCCACTGAGTCTTGGAGGAAGGCGACATCAGTTGGGGTGAAGGACAGAGAGTGGTGTCCTGGCTTCTAAGTGCCTGCCACAACTTCCTTGGTGAACCTGGGCCATTGTCCCCCGCGCTGGGCCTCCATGTTAGAATCCGATTTCTGCAGTGACCGTTCAGCTTTAATACTTTGGATTCTAAGATCTCATCTGACCCCAACCATCACCCTGTGAAGGATGCCTGCAGGATCGTAGCTATTTTATGGCGAGGAAGCCAAGACCCCGTGAGAAACAGTGCCTTGCCCACCCCCACGCAGCCGCTAGGAGCAGAGCCTGCTAGCCCCAGCACTCGATGCTCAGCTTCGCTTTCTGGAGACTGGCCTCGGGCTGGGCAAGCTCAGCACAGCGAGAGGCTTCCCGCCGCGGGTGCAGGAAGCAGGCGCTGCAGGGGACGGAAGGGTAGGCGCCCACAGCGGGGTGAGGCCGCGCAGCTGGGCGGAGGCGCCCGAAGCCAGCGCACGGAGAAGGGGGTGTGGTGGGGGGCGGGCGGGGCCGGAGGAGGGGACGCCCTAAGGAAGGAAAAAGGGAGCCAAGTGCGGGTCGGTAAGCAAAGCTGAGGGGGCTCGGGGCGGTGCTGGGCAGGGGCTGCACGCGCCAGGACCATCGGAACGAAGGGTGCAGGGCGGCGCACCCTCCAGCACAGGGCAGGGCGCGGTGTCCCACAGCCGACGCACGCCCCTCGGAGCCTTCGGGAGAGACAGGTAAAGGCACCCGCAGGGCTGGGACACTTGAGACCACGGAGCCGGAAGAGGGGTCGGCTCAGAAACGAGGCTGATCCGCCCCAGGACGGCGCAGCGGGGTTCCCGGGCGCACGTGGGACTGCGGAGCTGGGCTCCTGGCCCTCCCCGCCGAGAAACCGTGGGGACCTGTGGAGGGCGGCACGAAAGCTTCTTCCACATCCATGGATGTGCAGGCGAACACCTGCGGGTCAGCCCCGAGTGCCCGCGCGGAAATGGCACTCCGGGACCCAGAGTGGCCTTCTTGCTTGGCCGGAGCCGCTTGCTCTGCAAGAGGTGACCTGCCTAATGGCTACTCCCTATATGCACCCCAGTCCTGGGAAATGTCTGGAGACTCCCCGAAGCTCTTCTGCTGCTAATAACATCTGTCTAGGCTGGGAGCCGGGAGCCAAGTTGTAGTTCTGTGTCAGTCGCCCACCTGCTCTATACCTTGTGCTTTCTTTTCCTGGACCCCACCCATAAAACGGACCTCTGGGTCAGGCTGCCCGTGCGCTCCATGTGACATGAGGGGATAGGGGTCTAGACCTAGGAGTCTCTTTTCTAGAAGGTAGATGATGAGTTCAGACCCTGTGTGATGGCCCATGGAGCGTATCTCCTTCTCACAACCTATTCTCCACCAGTTTTTTTAAAAAATATGTGTTATTGATTTTTTACAGAGAGGAAGGGAGAGGGATAGAGAGTTAAAAACATCGATGAGAGATGCCCGCAACCAAGGTACATGCCCTTGACCAGAATCGAACCTGGGACCCTTGAGTCCGCAGGCTGACGCTCTATCCACTGAGCCAACCAGCTAGGGCCCACACCAATGTGGAAACTGAGAATTTTTATATGTGGAAACTGAGGCCCCGGGGGTGATGATTGCCCAGGGTCACACCAGGGAAGAGAAAGAACCCAGGTCTCCTCACTCCTAGGCCAGGGCTTTCTCCACGTCACCCACACAGCTGCCTTGTAAATGTGTGAGCTCCTCCTGGCACCCAGCTGCTCTGTCTCCAAACAGAAGAGACCTGATGCTGGCACCATGGAAACGGCTTGGGCATTTGCTTGACTCCTTGAGATAATAACCAGCAGCCTTCTTCATCCTCACTCACTCCACACTTCTCAGAACACATTTCTACCTACGCTGAATGGGTAGATGCTCACAATACCTCCTAAGAGTGAGGCAACACAAGAAACCCCATCTTACCGATGGGGAAAATGAGGCCCAGAGTGGAGACGTGACCTAACCAGGACACATGGCTAGACACATTGGCAAATAGGAGCAGGTCTTTTGATTCCCACTCTAGTGTGTTCTCCATCAGTGACAGGACTATAGAATGGTGCCCCTAAATGGAAAGAGACTACAGGACTGATCAGAGAGGGTGAAAAACAAGCAAGACTTCTGAAGAATCAAGAGGAATAATATGAAACGCTGGGCTCACAGAGGACACAGGGAGGCTGTTCTTGGTAATATTGGGGTAGCTGGGTGGGTAAAGAAACAATGTGACCAACTGCCCAATACTTTGCAATTTCTAAAACACTTTCCCCACTAATGCCTCCCCGAGTTCCCATGTGAGGTAATCAGGGGTAATTATCCCCATCTCTTAGATGAGTTTCAGAGAACGTAAGTGCAGTGATCAAGGTCACTTAGCCGAGCATGAAGCCAAGATTAGGACCATGAAAGGAACACTTGAAAGGCAAGATCACCGACTGAGTGACTGGGAGTTGCATGAGTGCAGTGGGTGGGTGTGTGTGGCTACGCCCCGGGTAGGTACACAGGAAAGAGGGTTACAAAGCCACACCGGTGTTTTGGGGCCAAGAATGTTTGCCCTTTGGATTGAACAGGGTTCGGGTCAGGGAATATCTGGGTTTCAAAGCCCTGACTCACTTCCCCACTGGACTGAGATGGTTTCTTTCCTTTGAGTTTCCCCTTTTCCAGACCAAAAGGAGCCTGTTTGGACCTGCCCTTGAAGTTGTTTCTTAAGTAATGTAAGCTGTTGGGTGTACTGGAGGGGAACGGTCTAATAAGAAAAGGCATTGATTAATTTATTCTTCAATACCTGCTATGTGCCCAGGCCCAGGGAATAAAGAAGTGTATGACAGCCCTGGCCCCTGTGGCTTAGTTGGTTGGAGCATCCACTGAAAGGTGGCAGTTTGATTCTCTGTCAGGCACATACCCGGGTTGTGGGTTTGATCCCTGGGCGGGATGCATGTAGAAAGCAGTTGGTCTATGTTTCTCTCTCACATCAATCTCTCTCTTTCTTTCTCCCTCGCGCTCTCTCCCTCCCTTCCTCTCTCTAAAGTCAATAAAAATTTAAAATTAAAAAAAGAAGAAATTTATGACAGGCACCTGTCCTCATACCACACAATGAATAGATAAATAGATTCTATTTAGATAGTCAGACATATAATTTCAGTAGAGCATAATGCTCTAATAGGGTTTTATGCACAACACTTTAGGAATGAACAAGACGGAGTGAATAACCTGCTGAGAGCAGGAAGGGGTGTCTCAGCAGAGAGTCTACAGGGATGACATTGGAGCTGTGTCTTAAAGGATATCGGAGTTCACCGTGCAGATAAAAAGAGGAA